ATCTGCTGGTTAAAAAGTGACTTGTGAGGTGAAAAAGAAGGAAGCAGGCAGGAGTTTTTCTGGAGGACTGGGAGATGCAGGAAGATCAGAGACAGACAGGACAGGAAGATCAGAGACAGACAGGACAGGAAGATCAGAGACAGACAGGGCAGGAAGATCAGAGACAGACAGGACAGGAAGATCAGAGACAGACAGGACAGGAAGATCAGAGACAGACAGGACAGGAAGATCAGAGACAGACAGGACAGGAAGATCAGAGACAGACAGGACAGGAAGATCAGAGACAGACAGGACAGGAAGATCAGAGACAGACAGGACAGGAAGATCAGAGACAGACAGGACAGGAAGATCAGAGACAGACAGGACAGGAAGATCAGAGACAGACAGGACAGGAAGATCAGAGACAGACAGGACAGGAAGGTCAGAGACAGACAGGGCAGGAAGATCAGAGACAGACAGGACAGGAAGATCAGAGACAGACAGGACAGGAAGATCAGAGACAGACAGGGCAGGAAGGTCAGAGACAGACTGGACAGGAAGGTCAGAGACAGACAGGACAGGAAGATCAGAGACAGACAGGACAGGAAGATCAGAGACAGACAGGGCAGGAAGATCAGAGACAGACAGGGCAGGAAGATCAGAGACAGACTGGACAGGAAGGTCAGAGACAGACAGGGCAGGAAGATCAGAGACAGACAGGACAGGAAGATCAGAGACAGACAGGGCAGGAAGATCAGAGACAGACAGGACAGGAAGATCAGAGACAGACAGGACAGGAAGATCAGAGACAGACAGGACAGGAAGATCAGAGACAGACAGGACAGGAAGATCAGAGACAGACAGGACAGGAAGATCAGAGACAGACAGGACAGGAAGATCAGAGACAGACAGGACAGGAAGATCAGAGACAGACAGGACAGGAAGATCAGAGACAGACAGGACAGGAAGATCAGAGACAGACAGGACAAGAAGATCAGAGACAGACTGGACAGGAAGATCAGAGACAGACAGGACAGGAAGATCAGAGACAGACAGGGCAGGAAGATCAGAGACAGACAGGGCAGGAAGATCAGAGACAGACAGGGCAGGAAGATCAGAGACAGACTGGACAGGAAGGTCAGAGACAGACAGGGCAGGAAGATCAGAGACAGACAGGACAGGAAGATCAGAGACAGACAGGGCAGGAAGATCAGAGACAGACAGGACAGGAAGATCAGAGACAGACAGGACAGGAAGATCAGAGACAGACAGGACAGGAAGATCAGAGACAGACAGGACAAGAAGATCAGAGACAGACAGGACAGGAAGATCAGAGACAGACAGGACAGGAAGATCAGAGACAGACAGGACAGGAAGACAGGAAAATAAAAACCAAGAAAACAAAATTACGTTCTTAACAAAATAAAATATAGGTAGATTGATCCCACTACACGTTTGTACCTGTATAAAGCAATCATTTATCAGCATGTAGTATTTATATCGTTGATACATTTCAGATCATCTTCAAAACTCCTCCCATGCCCAGGGGCGTATCTAAGCATTTTGGGGGCCGAGGCAAAATAGACCCCTGCCAGGTATTTTAAGTTGAAGTGCTATCTGTTTTTATATTAGACTTTTTATATTTGCAATAAAGTCCAAAAGTGAAGAATTTATGTTATTTATTACTTGATTGTTCAAGCTACCTCACAGAAGTGATCTGTTGTTAAAAATTTCAATGAAAAAGTAATTAAATACAAAATAAGGAACATTCTGGAACAGTTTCTTCCTTTTCTTTATTTTTAATGTATCGAAAGTATCGGATCAGGACTCGGTATCGGCAGATTCTCAAAATCTAATGACTCGGACTCGGGGGCAAAAAAAAAAACCTGATTGGGACATCCCTAGTTAAGGTTACGGTTTGTTTGGATCAGATTAGCGATGACTGTGAAATATTCTGCTTCTCAAACTCAGATTTGTGAAAAATCCAGTGAGATGCACTTTAATCTGTAATCTCTGTAACCGTGAAGCTCCTGTTGGCTGTTCAGATGAAACAAGCAAGCCTGGGTCAGATTGTTGTTTAGTAAAGAGGCAAACTAAAACTTTAGAAGCTCCTGGTTCTGTTTTCACATCAACTCTCCTAAAGCTGTGGCTCACAGAGGAACAGAACCAGACGTTTGTTCTTTGCCCGTCATGTAAACCGTTTCCTCTGCAGACACAGAGAAGTCCCACCAGAACCAGCTGGATGAGTCCGGTGCCGACGACGGCTCTCTGAAGAAGAAGCAGAGGAGGCAGAGGACTCACTTCACCAGCCAGCAGCTCCAGGAGCTGGAGGCCACCTTCCAGAGGAACCGGTACCCAGACATGAGCACCAGGGAGGAGATCGCTGTGTGGACCAACCTCACGGAGGCCCGGGTCAGGGTGGGTACACCAGAACCATCTCAACTTTGTTCTTTTAGGAACAGTTGATGTTCTTTTAAAGGTTGTAGAGCAAAGAGAAAATAATGAAACCTTTAAAATCTCAAATATGTACAGTCTAATGTTAACATATTAATATGTAATATTATAACAATCTAACAGTAATAACTAAATAAAACAGGCCCTCACCACCGGTAGGACCTCCACCAGGGGGCAGCAGACTGGTGTAGGTCTGCTTATGGCAGGTTTCTGATGAAGGTACTAGTCCTGATGCTCCATCTGCTTTAAAGCAACACTTGAAAAGCAGAATAACACCGTCGTGATCACCCTGCTGCAGCCTGCTGTAGCTAGTGCTAACAATGAGCTAATGCTAACATGAGCGAGCTGATGCTAAATTAACCACAAAGTAAAAGATCCACGCTGTTGGACATTTAATATGAGTACTTACAAGTCCAGTAGCAACAAATCCAGGTCATCATCAGTCCATGATATCATAGCCCCCCTTTTAGCTCCTTCAAACTAGCGTAGGCCGCGCCAATGTTCACTCTGGTTTTAGCTCTTTGCTTCGCCTCTCTTACTTGGACTTCCAGACTCCACCATGATTCTAACACAAAAGAAAACTTCTTCTTGTTCTTTGTATTGACTGTTGAAGAACCGAAAAGTGAACTGCTAGCTTTTGTATTAGCTACCTGCAGAGTAACCAGCTAAAAGCCATAAAGCAAGTAGAAACCTTGACGTCGCTCAAGAACCAGTTTAAAAGCTTAACTTCTAAAACCTCTTAAGTGTTGCTTTGAGGTCAAAAGGGCTTTGATCTGTGGCCATGGTTTGGATGGAGAACATCTAGCAAAACTGGGACAGTTTCAGGTTCCTGAAAAACTCTGGGTCTGGTCTCTAACCCTTCCTGAATCCTGGTTCCATCTGACCTTTGACCCATTAGGTTTTGCTCTGTATTCCTGAGAGACCGAATCAGAACCCAGTGATTCCACAAACCAAACAGGAAGCCGTGCTTCTGTCCCCCAAAGCTTGATTTCACCTAAATGTCAAAGGTGGAGCTGAATTTGGACTTTGTGGCTAAATGGAGCAGGAGCACACGCGTTCTGATGGATGACAATACAATGGCTGGCCCGCCTGAGGAGGAATGGGTCAGAGGAATGTTGGCTGGAGGAAAGGTCACATAGCACGCACACTTGGATGTTATTTTGAAGGGACAGCGGATCGTCTTGGTCCTGATGTCCACGAGTCGTCCCTCTAAGTTGTGCACGCTCTGAACGTTCATGGGGAGCTGAAGTCTTGAGGAACGACCTGATGACTCCTGATCTGGTCCCGTCCATTAGAGCTCGTCTATGATGTCACAAAAACACCCCAACCCCAACCCAAAAGTAGTTTCATTGATTATTTCTCTGACAATTTATCAGATGTTCCCCGGAAAGCTCTTTGGGAAGGACGTGTGTAAAATAACATTTTCTGTCCACCCTAATAGCATTTGATGTGTTTCTCATCAATTCAGAAAGAAAAACCAGAACAAACAAGTTTATTAGTTGGTGACAAAGAGCCTAAAATCCTCATTTAAAATGGATCCTCTGCTAAACTGTTGTGTGTTGACCCAGCATGGGTTCCTCTGCACTCAGGAGCATCTCAGCGCTTGAATAATTCATAAATGAAACTTAGGAGGTAGAAGAAACAAACAGATAACCTTCTGAAACCACAAGGACTGAAAACGGACCAACAATGAAGATCACCGCTAAGAGAAAATTCTGCTGCTGGGAGCAAAACTGCTTTTATTCTGAAGGCCAGAATGAGAGGGGTCCAGTTCTGGTCTTCTGGGTCACGGTCTTGCATGACCTTTAACCCTGTGGAGCCTGACCCAGAACACATCCCCGTTGGATTTGAACAACAAACTGTCTCAACCCAGGAGCCAGAATCAGCTAAACGCTGATCTGAAACCAGCCAGAGGGAGGCCAACAGTCATCCTGGAGATGCGTGAGCCGGACCGGGTCACTCCGGCCCGTCGGAGCGGGTTCTGCCGCCGCTGCACTCAGAGTTTAGTCTCAGCAGCCTTCAGGAGAAACCCGTCAGCCCCACAAACATCCAAACCAGACCAAAAAGTTTCTGCAGCAGACTGAATTTCAAAGTAAAACCAAAGTTTGTCCGGAACTTTATTCACAGATGAACTTGGCAAATATTTCATTTCTAAAACCACTCAATTTAGATTTTCCAGCGGAGCTTTAATCCGCTTCATTTCCTCTAAATATAGGACCATAAAGAGACAAATGTGAAGATTGCCCTTCCCTGACATTTCTGCCTTTGGGATCTCACTATTCCAATAAGTGACTGATTAGTTTTAATAAGCCTGCCTAATAAGACTGTTTGATGATACACTTCAACTTACTTTGCGGGATCACCGTGTCTTTGGAGAACTTCGTACACACATTCAGGAGAAATTACTGAGAGGATCTGAGGGGAGTCGGCTTCCTCTGCCTGGATGTGTTTTAGAATTAAACCATATTTACTTCACTTTACCAAGAGAAAAGTCACTTAAATTTAATCCCTGCAATTGTTACAATTATTTTCCTTGTTCTCAAAAATCAAATTAGCTCCAGAAGTGA